AAAAAAAAACACTAAGCATACATCATGTCTCATACAATACATATCACATCACAAAAAGCAAATTGGTATCTAGCGCTGTTAGTAGAGAACAAAAGAAGTCGACGAGATAGATCATGAGGCTCACCTAGAGGGTGGCTGCAGCTCAGCTGCGGCTTCTGGCTGTATTTGCCTTCTAATTCGGACCGAACCGAGTTTAGTAGTTGTAAATAGCTCTGGTTTGGACGCTGTTGTAAGGTCTTGATAAAAGCCCAACTTAATGCACCTCGAGCCTCTCCATCCTGGAAGGTATCCGCTCTATCACCCTGTTAGCTGCGAACGACTAAGCCGCCTGGTAGGGTACTTACGAAGTTTGGGTATCCTTGGAGCCTGAGAACATGACAACATCGGCAGGGGAGGTCTTGGTTCTAACGGTTCGTTCGCGCGCAGAGTCGCCCAAGGCGGCTTTCTTGAGGAAGCCAATCGCCGTCTGGGCCACACTAGCGAAGTCGCCTTGTCCATATGACGTTATGGCGCTAAAGAGGTCCTGAGCCGCCTCTTTGGCGAGATTGGGTTCTTTCAAAATACCCTAGCTGAGATGAGCAACTGGAAGGCATGTTAGAGGTGAGGAAAACGCACCTGTGTGGAGTATACGTAAGGAAGGTCCAGGGCCGTACCCGAGTGGCACGAGTCGAAAATAGCAGTCAGACGAACACCCGGTTGCAGCGGGCGTACCCTTGAAGCATTGTCAGTATTAAGGCGAGCAGTGAGCAGAGAACACACGTACATAATAGCGTGCATGTCATCATCTACGATATGTCCTGCCGTACGGTAGTCCAACGGGTAGATAACGTCATCGTATCCTTGTGTCTCGTCAGCACTAGTCATGAATACACACCATGGGTTAAGGGGCCAGATACTTACCATCCTCCTCGTCTCCATCCAGATCCGGTGTTCGACCGCCATGCCCTAGATCAATCAGCCAATAAATTCCGGGTGAGCTTATGCGGTGATCTCTACCTGAGAAATGAATGAAAAGTGAATCGTTCGGCTGCGCATCCTTGACCAACCATTGCATCGCTCGTAGAATATTAGCTTTAGTCGGGACACTCATGGGGTTCTGTTGGTCGTCGGTCAGGATGACCATGTCTTCTCTCCGGTAGCCGTATCTATCATGGAGGAAGGTCGACATATTGGTCACATCATTGATACAGCCGCGGAGGGCGTTCGGCTGCCCGGCATAGTTAATCCCAATCAATAGGGCCTTCCGTCGGCCCGTACAAGCAGAGTACTGGAAGCGATAGTTGGACGGAGCTCCATTGCCGAACTTCTGTGCCTCCATGGGAGGGCGTGGGGGCATTTGGCCCCATGACGGCGAGTGACCTAGTATGGTTAGTTGTTCCTGTCTGTAACAAGATTGGGATAGATTGCGCTTACTGTGATAAGAGCGGTACTGTGACCCCGATGATGGGGGCGGAGTCGGAGTGTGATGGCCATAATGACCGGGGGGCGGATATTGAGGTGGAGAATACGAATGGGGTGATTGCGATGGAGGAGGGTATCCATTGGAACTTGGACCGGTTAGCCCTAATGACAGGACGATAAGTGGACAAAAGCGGTAACTTACTAGTAAGGCTGCTGCGGCGGCGGCGGTGGTGCTGACCACTGCTGCTGCTGATGCTGCTGCGGCGGCGGGTAGTAACCACCTCCCCAACCCGATTGCGGGGGAGGGTAATTATAGTTTGGGTGGTACATCAATTAGGATGAAATTGAGGTGATACTCGTGACTCTGAAGGGATAGAAAGAGAGAATGTTTGAGGGTGTGTGTGTGTGAGAGAGTGAAAGTGAGCGAGTGATCAATTTCCCCTCGCCAAGAAACAGTCCCTCGTGTGGAGAAAGTCAGTGCACCGTGTTGGGGGGTTAGGTTAAACGCGAACTCCTCAACCCACAAGATCGTGAAGAAAAGTAAGCTTATCTTCCCACTGGGGACAGAATGGGGGGAAGAACAGGAAGAGAACAGTAAGGTGATCAGAAAATAAGAAGTGGGAGAAAAGGAAGAAGAAAAGACAAGAACGCGAGATTTAACAAGAACGGGGAAACCTGAGGCAGGCTGGCTGATAGTCCGCATTCCTCGGTGGGGTCCGTTCCGTCGGACGATTGGCCCAATCGTCCAAGGTGGGTCTGACACGAGGCGGATAGGGCAACAGCGGTCAAGTGAGAGAGAGAGGATGTGTCTTTTTGATTGCCCTATTTGTTGCGAATGAGGTCGGTGTGAGGGGACTTAGGGACAAACTATGCAAGTTAATTGCACCGGTCTTGTTCATCGACACATTCTTGTGGTGATATCTACAATCCTATCCCACAACAACCGCACTTGAAATTGACCCCCCCCCAAAAAAAGGTCTCCCCTCGATCGGCATGAGTAATCCATGACTACGGAACGCCATCATCATCAATCACGACATCCATTGGTAGGCTGTCAGCCTTACCGCAGACTCCTGAAAGTGGATTCCGGTAATCTCGGCAAATAGAATTGGCCCCTCGACCCGTCTTGCAGAACGTTTGGCATCCTGCTTCTCAACACATGATACGTACTCTCCCTTCCAAGTTAATTTGGATGGGACAGCCCTACAGCCCTGGTTCCATGGTACGTGCCACAGTGGATGCCCCCCCAGCCAATCCATTCCCCAGGAACCTTGACGAGTTCGGCGCTTTTCCCGAGGGGGCAATGTTCCGGAATGTTCGCTAGGCACCAGCATAACTGTCTCGGTCTTGGCCTGCAGCCGGGCACATGGGGGCTGAACATAAATGACGATGATGGAAGTACAATGATGGAATCCTCGGTTGCCGGCTGGCCGATCATCCAGGCTTGGCCAGGAGTCATGCCTATCAGTGCAGGTCACGAGGATGGTACCATAGTATCACATTTTCTTGGGGACATTATAGTACGAGTATCTTAAGACCGTCACCAAGGGGCCAGATGCTTCTGCTTGACGGCCAAGTCTTTGTTGCCCGTCACGGGGTCATGCTCACATGACCGCCATCGAACATGTTAGTTGGTATGTTATGTCTCACCGCGTACCGTGTTGGGAGTAAGCACCGCAACCAGTCGGCAACTTGGCACCATGATACATGGCAATTGACTGGGAGACTGGCAATTTGTGGTAGCAAAGTATAGCTTTGTGCAGAACCTAATGCGACCCAAACCAGATTCACATAATGTAGCCCCATTGACTCCCAAGTACGTTCCCAGGGTAATCATTATTCTTACCCGCTGTTAAGGCATCATGATGGTAAAGAGCCTCAACGACACTAAGCCAACCATAGTGGTAGAGAGTGAAATATGACTCGTGCCACATTTTTATATACATGGCATGACGTATGGGTAGAGCTTCATACGACAAAAGGGATCAAGAATCGAACCTAACTTTGAGGCACAAGTGTATTCCAGAACGGAGGACACGAGCGTCTAGATATATTCACAACAACATGACATTGTTGAGCCTCAGTGGGTTCCCCTCACGAGGATTGGCCCCTCAGCAATTTACACACCGAGGATAGCTCATGATCAAGGCACCAGAGGAAAACTCAATTGTCTGTGCTCGTGCTCCACATAATCAACACCAGCCCCTCTCCTGTCGGGGTCTACAAGGATACTAGCAAACAAAAAGCAGCCGGGCAGCAGGAATGTGACCAAACAGGGATCCTTGCTTCCTCCGCCTTGAGCGGCGCATGGACACAGGATCCAGACAAATCCATCGACCACGTTCCAGACGTGTCGACCAATCTGGGTGCTCACCCCTTCGGAAGATCGTCGTCACATCTCGTGGAGTGATGTACAGCGTACAACGTGACGAGGGACTAGGTTTGGACCTATTACGATACCCCGCAGAGCTCGAGTCTCCATGCTTAGGTCTTATCTCGAACGGGTCTTTCCTGATTGGCAGGTGGGTCACTATGAACAAAGATGACCCGAACAACCATGCATTGGGAGCTCACGCAGCAACGAGGCTGACTATCCGGTATCGAACGAGACGACCAGTCATCGTTGGACCTGCTCCCCATTGCATGAGAGCCCCCAAAGCATGGACACCTTACCCTTGGTTTGACAGGCGATCGTGTGCCAACTTGGGCCTCAGTGCGGCGATCTGGATGACCAGCCTCTTCCGGGGGGTACCTGATTGATCCTCGTCCGGAATGAGGCAGTGCAAGGCGCAGTTGATGCGCAATTATTCGTTTGCCATTGCCCATTGTGGAATTTGAAAGGCAACCATATTTCGAGTATCATGACAGGTTAGTGGCGCTCTACATTACTCAATTGAGTATGTTCCGTAGACATGTCCAGGGGGGTGAAATGATTTTAAGATGTTGATCTGAGGGCACGCACTGACCAGCTGGTTGACGGATGTGACGGCATGAGTAATTTCGCAGCTTACGGGCACCGCCACGAATTGATTGATATGGCAATCATGGCCCGAATATCGGCGTCTTGTATTATGTTTTTCCCTTCGTCGATATTTTTTTTTTTTATAATTCTTTTTCTTTTACTATATCTATTGTTGTCTTCCAGTTTAGTGTTTCAATAAATTGGGCAAGAGTGAAAATACTCAAGAAACTCGTGTTCACCAATCCATTATCAATGGTCGATATTTTTATCCGGGGTGGCAAAAGACGAGTGTTTCTCGGTGGAAAGGACCAGCTGGTACACAATCATGCAGCCGCATCACTTTGACAGACTAGTGGTAGTACTTGGGCTTGATTTCAATTTCGATAGTGTAACGCTGAGACACTAGAGGGCTCAGTTTTGTTTCTCCGAAGCGCGAAGAGGCAATTCGGGGTCCGACAGGATGGGGTAAAGTTCAAGTCGGCAGGAAGCGACCGGCGTAAGAAAAATAGCGCTGGGCCGCTTTTTGTTTTCCGCCACGCTGAGAGTGTGAACAAAAAGAGCCGCAAAAAAGGGCCAAAGTCGGTGAAGCCCCAACCAACGCAAAAGTTTGGTATCATTCGAATTCCCGCAGTTCGTTTCCAAATGATTTATTTTTAGCTTTAGCAAGTAACCTGGTTGAAAGAGAGAAAGGACAAAAAGAAAATATAAAGAGAATTAAAGAAAACATGGAAATCAGATCCACCAATCTCACCCCATTATCATCCCCCCCGTGTATCACGAACGGGAGAACAAGGAAAGTTGAAAACCAAGTGACTAAACACAACAGGTCAAGATGAGGCTCTGTGACATAAAATTTAATTGAATAGACACGGGAAGAACGACCCCACCGCTCCAAAGTAAATGAAGGTGACGATCGTAGGCTTTCATCATCCGACCTTGACGCGCGGACCTTCATTCGATGCATGTGGCGTGGCTTTAATTTTGATGTCCACTTGGGTCAAATCCTAATAAGCGCTCCGTGAACCAATCGCGGTGCTGGGGTCAAGAGGCTCCACGATTCCATCGGGTCTTCGATCTCGTTTCGAAATGATCCTCATGCTTGTGCTGGAGCCGCATTCCTGAACTACTAAAACATGCTGTTGCTGCTCAGCTGGCCAATTCCGTCTACATGGGTGGTTGACTGCCTTTCTAGCAACCATTGACTTGCGTTGCACTCCTGGTATTCACAGGTGGTTTTTCCTGAAGAACATTCCCTTGAAACACTCATATATTATTTTCTTTACTACATTCCCTCTTCAGTGAACTCGACTGCCTTCCTTCAGATGCTTTTCACACCCATCGTGTGTGTTCCCTTCGGTCATGTCAGAGATGACCAGAAATCTGGATTGTATCCCTTACGATGTTTTCTATCAAGTGGCATCCACCCTGGACTGTCATGATTTCGTGCATCTCAGCCGGGTGAATCAAAGCCTGAATGCCTTGATGCGAAACGAGTCATTGGCACGGAAGACAGTCGAGGTAATACCTTCTATACCGCCTGTGTGGGATGTGGAACACTAACAGTGCGACAGAACCACCTACTTCATACCAAGGAAGGGCAGCAGGCAACCGAGAACAAGTCAGGATACCGTAAAGCACTGGGACGTCTATATGACATCAAGGAAGCTGTGGCCACCGCAGATCCGTACTCGGCCTCAATTATCGGCTACGGGAGCGCCTTTCTCTACAGCGGCGGTGCGCTGTGCTATGTGTTCAACGACGAGATCCGCGCTTTGGATGTCCATGGGGCCAGCCAAGTTGAGCATGTCCTGAACCTGCACGCGGTCCTGTCCCGCGTGATCCCAGATTGCGACCCGACCGAAGACGCAACCCAACTCTCACTGATGAACTACAGCCATGGCGTGCTGGCATTTTCAGTGGAGATTGTAGAACGGCGGGAAGCCTGGCTCCTGGCAGTGGATATGCGGCGAAAGACGGAAGGTGGAAAGGGGCGATTGCGCCTGCGCCGACAACTCGAGAGCAAACAGCGATTATTCGTGCGACACAACCAATCTTACCTCTACTACGGGACCCACTCTGGTGCGGGTTATCATGGGTATAAGCAATGGATCGTCAACTGTTTCGAGCTGGGGACGGGCAAACAAACGAATGAGAAACCGGTCCAGCTGCACGATTTCGCCGGCAACGAAATCGGACAAACGGTGTGTTTTGACGTCCACCAGGACCATCTATACGCCGTGTCCACGCAAACAGCTTTTGAGATGGAAGAGGTCGACTGGACCTCGTTCTACGTTTGGGTCTGCGTGGCCCCCACCAACAATACGAAGCGCGTGACACTCAACCGGACCTGGCGCCGACAGCATCGGGAAGGCCCCATAAACGACTCGTGGTCGGATATCTCCCTGCGACACGATGAGGCCACGAAACAGCTGATCATCCTGGAATGTCGCCGCGAGTGGCACAAGGGCGGCAGCGAGAATTTCCGCACATACTACGTGCAGCCGCTCCCGTCGCCCACGGAGATAACGCAGCATAGTAAGCACCAGGGCGAAGCCTTCCGTCCCGTCTCTTTGCCGGACGAACCGTTGACCAAAACCCTGGACCCGTCCAGCAAACCGAACTACGAACGCCCCCGGAAGCGCCTCCGCCGGCACTACCACCCCGAATACACCCTGGGCCACGACGACCCCGTGCACCGACAGGACTTCATCTTGAACCGCACCAAGCTACGCACGTACAACCTCTCCGCCTCGACCTTCGTCGATCTCGTCAACGACCCATGTCCAACCCCTGGGAGTCTGATCCCGCACGACCGGTTGCGGCTGCGCATGGTATCACGCAAGCGCAAGTGCCCGATCGACGAGACGGGCGAAGAAGGAACCCCAAACCTCCTCTATCGTCCGGAGATCACGGAAGAAGAACAGGAAGAGGATGGTCAACCCGCAGATTGCAGTGAGGAGCGCTTCGCGTCCCGTGGAGTCCGCCTATGGCCGCCTGACAACGCGCCGCCCGTGTTGACTCAACTTCTCTGCCCATCCAAGCGAACTGGCAAGGTTGAGGCCATAGCGGACGAACGGACCATCATCTACACGGTGAATCAGGAGGGCCTGAGCTCCGATCTTCAGGCGATCATTCTCATCAACTTCGACCCGGCGCTACGACTGCCCGGTCTGCAGCGCTTGGACATGTCTGGCACGCCTGAAAACCACACGACCAACACGACGACGGGCACTGAGCAACCGCAGCCTCCAATCTTCAACCCTGCCAGTCCGCGTAGGGCGAACCATAAGGAGCCATCTGTCCGAGAGGAACAGGCGATGCACTTGCACATCAAACGTGGATACTGGCTACGATAGTTGATACGGACAGATATACGAGATAAAAAAAAAAAAGATAATAATAAGTAACAAACAATGGAAACACGATAAATATCATTCATTAATAATCCGATTATTAGGTTCGCAAGACCAAGTCAGCATCTCGTATTAACAGATCCGAGCAAGCCACTCGTAATCCATGCTCCACAGCCATAAGCCCAATCATTCCAAGTCCCCATCAGGGCAAGACTCGGAGTATGACAAGAGAAAACACGATGCATCTGACATCATCCATTGCAGCCCAACATTAGATAAGTAAAGTAAAGTACATAAAAAAAAAAACAGATAAGCAACTAGGTATCGAACGTATAACACAATCACATCACACATAAAAAACACCCATCCATAACCCTACTATCTCATCACCTCTGCACCTTCCCCGAATCCAACTCCACCGGTCTCTGAGTACTAGCAGTAGTAGTATTCAACTCCACCAGCGGGGTCCCCCCATGATTCATATTCATACTCCCTCCCATACTAGGCGTACCCATATTCCCATCCCCATATAAACCTACATACCCCCCTCCTCCACCCTCCGCCTTCTCCCCAACCACACCCCCTCCGGCACCCCGTCTCTGTCTCCGCTCATACAAAGCCCAAGCAATCGACGCCACCGCAATAAGCCCCAACGGCACACCCACCCCGACCCCAATCGCAATATCATGATTATCCAACGCCTTCTCTTTTAGTCTTTGGTCGTCGCACGTTGAATCAGTGTTGTTTGTCGACCCCGACCCCGACCCCGAATCCGAGTTACTGTTGTTGTTGTTGTTGTTGCTCACAGATAACCCCGCCACGCCGGGTATCGCAGTCCCCATGGTAATCGTGAAGGGATCCCCTTCTGATGTACAGGTCGTCTTGCCGTCTTTCACGGTAACAGAACCACAGCAGTATTGGGAGTCTTTGCCTGAGAAACCGACGTTGATGACAGGGAAGCCATTGTTGCGGTTTGAGCTTGCTGTGAATATCGAGTTAGTTGGTTTGGTTTCTGGTATATTTTACCCCGGTAATCTAGGCCAGTCTAGACTGTAGGTATAGAAGGTATACCACGAAGAAGATAGAAGGAAAAGGAAGAAAGAAAAAAGAACATACAACAAGGCGCAAAACACCTAGCACCCCAAGATTTATCCGTACAACTTCCCCGTGAAAGCGCCATACCGTGAGAACCCTGTAGATAGCAGAGACCATTGGACATGCAGATATCGGCTTTGTTGCAGCAGTTTGTGGTTGCATCGGAGGTGCAGGGCACGTCTGCGGTTGCAACGCTGCCGTCGAGAAAGTAGCATGTTTTGTTCTCGGCGTGGGTTGTTGGGAGGATAGCCAAGAGGGAGAGGAGGAGGGGGGTTGATGATAATATTGTTGGGAGTTTCATTTTGTCTTTTCTCTTTCCCCCTTTTCTTTTCCTTTTCTTTCTTTTCTTGGGGTGTGTTGGATTGTGTTCTATATTGAGTTTTGAGGGTTTGCGGGAGTTAGATTGCTGAGTGGATAAGTATCAATAACGTAGTCGCTGGTAATGATATTATAATAGAGTATATTAAGATAATATAAAAGTAAAGTAAACACCAGAAGAGTAATATACAACACCAAAAACAACAAAACAAAAGAAAGATCCCCAAGAAGAAATCAAAACCCCAACCCAAGCCAACTCCAAGCAACAACCCTCCGTCACAAAAATAACCCAGACACATGCCCACCCTCAATCACCACCATCCAGCAGCTTGTCAAAGCAACCCTTCTATGCCGGCTGCCATTGGTCCAAAGGCGGAAATAAGGAGCCGGCGGAGGTTGACTAGCGTCCTCATCGTCCAGCCATTTGTCCTAAACGAGGATAGGAAGGAATCTGAGCAACGAGTGAAATACCTAATTAGGATGATGCCAAGAGTTCTAAGCCCCTTATTTAGATTTGCTCAGTCTGACTCGTGCGGCTTGTTTGGCCCCCAACCTTTTCATTCTTTCGTTAAAAAGTCGGGGTTTTTGTGTTGCGTGAAGCTGATCCTGAGTGGGGCTGCCGTATTTACTTGGTTATGAGTGGTGGTTAGGGATTGATAGGAATTGATATTGGATGGGGATGGGTGGGTTTGACCGTTTGAGGGATGAAGATGTTGAATCATGGATCTACTTTGTACTGTAAACTATAGTTACCTGAGTATATATATATGGATATAGATATATGATTCTCTCAATTAGTACTGCAGAATCGTTATCCCCCGGAGTATACCCGCCATTCGTCCAAGTCCCGGAACTGACAGCACGCCATGATCGCTTAGCTACTTAGGCCTTTAGGGTCCAGAAAGTGTCCCGGTCTAGCCAGGGTCATGGTGGGTATCTGACATCAGATATGGGGCTACTTAACCCTGACCTGCATATTCGCTTGATAATCAACTTAACTCTCTACCCCCGCCATCTCACATTCATTCCATAACAGATAATAGACTAAACTGCATTGCCATAGCCATTAAAATGAAAATGGAATATATATAAATACCACAACCCAAAAAATATAAACTACCATAAACTCCATATAAAGACAACATAGCCCCCAAATCCCCAGCCTCAAATCCCAGCCAATTTACTCCGTACTCCGTACTCAGACCCCACCAAGCCCCCAGTGATGATCAATTGTATATCCACGAATCAGCGGATTCGGACCTTTCAATAATTGTTGGATATCCGCGCGGACAACATCTAATTCTGATTCGCTCGAATCCGGACAATCGTAGAACGCTTCCGCGAGTCGCTGATCGATAGATGTGAGGTTAAAGTCTTGGTCAATTGACTTTAGTCGGGCTGTTAGGGCTTCGATGACGGATTCGTTGACGGGTTTGGGGACTGTGAGTTTGAGGTGGAGCATTTTAGATCTTTCAATTGATTTTTGTTTGTTTGGTTATGGATAATGTGATGCTCGATCACTCAATCAATCATATTTGAGTTATGGAGGTAGTAGGTGGAATTTGGGGCCTTGGTTTGGTTAGTGTGAAATATAAGGCTGGATGGGGGGGCTTTATGTGTGATTATATGTCTAGGTAATATATGGTTTCCGAAAGGAAGATTATGCTACTTTATTTCTACGTTATGGTCAGGCTTTCTGGTTTACCTTGTATACCCGGACTATGGCCAAGGTAAAATGCTAGGTAACAGGTATGCCAGCGGGAGGTGAGTTAAAGCTGTCCCATGAACCCGGTAATAAGCTTTCGGTGGTTCCGTCAGGAGGTCTTGTTCAGTAGATGATATCATGAGGCTTGCCAGCTCTCTCTAGGAAGCTTACTGGTTTCCCTCCAGTCACGTCCTGCCCTGCCGTTCAGGGTAGGTGGCGGAACTATGGAATGATCATTTGGAAAGGCCAAGGTAGCTAGTATTGGTATCTCTGAGAGCTGACCAGGGCTGGCATAATTACCTCGTTATGCAGACTGTAAATACAACGATTTCAATTTGGTACCGCCTAACAAACTGAAAAAAAAAAAAAAAAAACCAAACGTGTAGCCACCGACATATCCACGGTCGCAGATTACATATTCTGGACAGTGGAGGTTATCCTCGCCTGTATGTACAACATGCATTTTATGAATAAGATGACTCTCCTGGACTCCCTTGGTCATGTGTTTCGGCGTCGTAGAATGCCCGAAAAGTACTTTGGTCCTCCGACAACGATGACTGTGGATTTCCGAACTCTAACAACTTGACCTTCGTCAATCACAGTCACATAGTCGAATTCCAGGATGGTCTGAAGTTTCTGAGCGGCCATGACAATGGTGCAAGAGCCGAACTCTGATCGGATGACATCCTGGATCTGTGAATCTGCTTGGGAATCAGGTCTATTACACAGATAACCTATTAGCACGATAACCTAGATGAAGAGCCCCAGAGTACACTTACTCGCTAGTAGGCTCATCCAGGAGCAATATGTGGCCCTCCTGCAGTAGAATTCGTGCAAGGCACAGAAACTGCCGCTGACCGTATGATAGAAAGTCGTCATCGATGATAATATCCAATGGGTTGCAGAGAGGTGATTCGTTTGGGTAAGGTCTTTCCACTATGACGCCCCAGAGTTTGGCGCGCTCAAGTGCGATAATGATATCACCATCGCATTTGTCGCCAAGTGGGTCGAGATTTTGTCTAATAGAAGCGGGAATGATGAAAGGATCTTGAGTTAAACAGTTTATCCTTTTGCGGACTACAGATGGTGGCAATATTGAGATGTCTTCGCCGTCGATGAGGATTTGACTGGACGTCACTTCAGCCATCCCAAGTATGGCGAGGATAAGTGAGCTTTTGCTGCTACAACTGAGTTAGGTCTAGATACCCATATTCACACAAGCGATCAGAATAGGACTTGCCCTCCAGTTCGACCACATAGTCCCAGCTTCTGTCCAGGTTGACGAGTGAACGTGATATCTCGTAGTACCAGATTGGATATGGAATCATGGCTGACGGATACGTCTCTGAATTCGACGGCTCCCTGTGCCGGCCAGGCTTCTTCGGTTCCTGTGGGATGGCTGTGCTGCAATTCCCTAGGTGTCTTCAACAAAACGCTTGATCCGTGCAATGGAATCAAACGATGGCTTGAGTGAAGTCCAGCTCAGGATTAGACTGACGAGGTTCTGACCAAGCATCGTCCTCATTAGCAACCCGGCGCCAAGCAACCCAGGTTCGATCTATGAGTCGAGCGCAACAGCCAACCCAATCAATAAGACAGTCAATGCGGCAACAATCGGGTTGATGACAAGCACAAGCCACCGCTAAGTGCATAGAAGGTGTAGTACGGTCGCTGCGCTGTGTCGATCAAAAATTACATTGTCTCGCTCATAGACGAAGTCCATCCATAACTACGGATCGTAACGAGGCCATTGAAAGAGTCTATGAAATGTGACAGTAGGGAAGCCTTGGTTTTAGTCCTGGCCATCAGTTAGCATAGCGGTTTTTCCACAACTAGCCGTGATAGAAACTGACTCGTGAGGTGTAACTGGCGCCATGTCCGAACATACACACGATGAATGAGGATCAGTATGCAAACTAGAAAAGGTATTGCCACAACAATATAAGGCACGGCCGCTATGGTGACGCCAACTTAGGCGATGGCTGTGAAAGCCTCTGAAGATGCATAGGCGACAACTATCGACCCAATTAAGGCCTCACTAAATCTGTCCAGGTCATCATACGTATCCACGGAAGCTTGACCTAATAGCGTGCTGCTAACCTGTTCATACGATTGCCCGTCTCAATGCGAGAAAGAAAAGATATTGTAGTCCTATTTCTCAAGTCAGGCGAAAGAACCACAACAGGCTAATGTTTGCTTACATCATGACTGCTTGTAAAATAACTCCATGCAGGGCCTTTGACGCAGCAGGCATAATCACAAACCACATCCAACTTCAAGATAAATTAATCACAGGATTAGTCAAAGCTGAAGCACATCAACCGCTGCACCTGACACACATACCCTATCACCAGTACCAGCCTAGCTGCCTCACTAAATCCTACTGAGGCATATACTCCGAGCCAAAACCCTGGTCTCGAGTTTGAGTGGCCGTCTTCATTTTCAGAGACCACAGAGTAACCCAGACATCTAGAAATAGGAGTCGTCGGGTCGACGCTGAGAACGGAGATTGGGGGCCAACCTACAGTGCGAAACGCCGAAGCCTGATTCCGTAACCGGAAATTCTAGTAAAAGAGCTATCTTTGGCCACCCAACAGCTGCTGCATAGTATTTGTAGATCTCTAGATCATTTATCTCTCGGTTTTGGTCTTCGGTGTTTACAACACCTCGTGTCATTCCTCTTTCCACAGCTATTTTGTCCGTTGCAATGTTTTCTTCGCAGGCTATACCTAAACGTTATTTAGATATCTAAATCGGAGATGTATTCCTTAGCCAACCGAAGTTCGCGGAACGTGCCCATTTCAAGGCCATCTTCACTATATGCAATAACGAATTCCGCTTCAGGAAGGTAATGTACTAAGCCATGGTCAGAAACCCAGTATCAGACAGGGAGAACTCCTAAAGTTTAGCTGAGCCACCACTATCAAAAGCAAAGAATACAATACACCCAATCAACCGGAGAATACCCCTTGCACTGAAGACACGGTCGAACGCTTTCCGCCCAGTAACTCGGACAAGGTCGCTGAGGACATTATCAAATAATGCCAAGGGCTTCCGTGTATAGACTGCATGAGCGATGGCCTGTAATATAATCAGCATCAGACGTTGTAAGAGCGGAAGATTATAGTCTCTTTACTATTCTCTGCCTCTGCCCTTGACTGAGCCTCGTACCCTGGGGGCCAATCAAGGTGTCGTGGCCAGCGGGCATTTCTCGCAAACCTTTGTCCAAGCAACAAACATGCGAGGATCATGGAACGATACCACTCCCCATCGTAAAAGTGGTACTATGCTATTATATTTTCCCGAATGGAGCTACTGAGGATCCACGGTGGCTGACCACAGTACGCAATGCCAAGGTCGTTAATGGAGACATCACCTTCGACTGGCTCAATCTCACCAAAGATGGTCTCTAGCAACATCGATTTACCACAGCCCACAAGACTTACTATTATAGTGAGTGAGGGAGTGGAAAATCTCAGCGTCAAGCTCCCAATATGTTTTGATCAGTCCGGCCCGGTTCCAAACGTAACTTTATCCAGTTCTATGGCTGCAGTTCTCAGTCTTGGTGAGGCATTTCCTGGGTTTATCGGTAAGGGAACTGGTGGCTGTATTGAAGACGTCAGTCCGGAGGAAGTCAGCCCGACCATTCTCTTGTCATTTTGAGGCTCCCGGGTCGACAAATCCCGAAATCTGTCAATACACCCAATAGAAGCTAAAGTCGTATAAGGGATAGCATATATCAAATCACGAATGGGAGTAAGCAACAAGTTTATTAGTGACAACAAAAGTAAATTGCTTGTGATACTGAAAAGGCACTCCACACTTCCAAGACAACCGCGATCTCATATACAACGAAAGGAGATAATTGACCTACTATCAGTGGTAAATTAACCAACCTATGGTTAGTTTGCCTGAATTCTTGGTGTCGAGTGGGACTTACTGAGTGACGCCTTGGCTGCCTGGATTCTTCGAAATTTCTTGGAACTCTCAAGTTCTTCTGTACTTCGAGCATATGGGATCTGCCTTCTATAATTCCGAGCATCTTTATCGACTTGATGGACCCTACTACTTCGGTGATAAAGTCGACACGCTTCTGAGTGGCCTCGAGCCATGCCTTATGGTGACTTGATTCTGACCCCTCTACATATACAGATACGGAGATAACTACTTAAAACCACGCTATGGTCAGCCACACTGCAGGGTAGATGTAGTAACGATGGTGTACCTATAGCACCAATTATAGGGGTAATACAGATAGCACCAATTTGGGCCCAAAAAAGCCAGGTAGCTAGGCCCAGCTGTAAGGCGTTTGCCCAAGAATCACATATCGTATGGCAGAAGAACTCCGCTACTGAGTCAATGTCCGAACCTACTAAGAAAATTGCGCCGGACTCGTGAGCATTGTCTATATGCAACCACATCATTGTACAATATACAAGGGAAGTCAATCCAGAACGAAATATTGCCATGGCGCGATGCGATAGCCCAAGTGCTCGTAGGTTGCAGTTGTGATCTGCGAAAGTACCGTCAGTTTACAAGCCCATAGATATCACTCGAGGTACGGAGCAGCTTACTGCGGTCCCAATGAAAACGATGGCAAAGTCACGTATCAGGCCTCCTCCGGTGTCACGAGGCAGTCCTAAACCTGTTGGCCCGACGTATGTCACCGCCCAGCTGAGTAGGAATGGCTGTGTCATGTTGAATAGCACTAGAAATAGCCGGGGAGCGGCGACTTTAGCAACCTCCCACCGTATACATTTGATGAGTGTAAGGAACAAAGCGATCCCACAACTATGGCCGCCTGCATTGGTCAGAGACTCTCAGTTGCATGATACTAAGCGTGAAGGCATGATACTCATTATTTTCTCCCACAAAAACAAAGTCCTCCAATAGCTGTCTCGATCCTAATCACTCATGCACAGGTGGAAGTATACAGTCCCAGCTTAACATATTAGTATGCCCAGCTTTGAGCAGACTTTTAAGCCACAGAAATAGAAGCCGGCTGAAAGGGCCACTGGTACTCTCCCGGGGATCTGCAGCCTGGTATCTCAAAAGCCACCTCCGCTTCTTAACTGTTTCTAAACATAGCAAGGTCAATTCAGCCCCCATAGAAGCGGACAGAAAACGCTTCACCTCCAGACTGGAGTCGGCTGACCAAGGGCTACCGATAGGCGGCACATTGAATATCAGGTCAGTTAAGAGGTAGAAGGAAAGCTAAAATAATGGGCGAACTGTCCTGGAGTGCTCCAATGGGACTAGGGCAACAAGCAAGCATGCTGCTGCAAATTTCGTAGTGAACACACAAGCGGTAAGCAAGGGGGATTGGTCTTTGAAAGATCGTTTGGAAATCGCAGATGCCAAAGCAGTGAACTTGAGGAAGGCCAAAGTATATGCAGTCACCTGGGCTCGATTGTTAAGTACTATTTACCCCAGGGAACTGAGGAGTCACTACTAGCTTGCTGGAATATAAACAAGGGGGTGCCACCTGCGGATGTGCATGGCGAAGTCGCAGTATCTGCAGCAAAGCCAACGGCACGAAACATGCCGCTGGGATTGAGCCAGCGATACTCCTCTTAGGTGACCGAGTAAGTCAACTGAATACGCTAGTGAAAATAATACCATGTAGGAAAGATTCAACTGTACCTCTCGAATCATAACAATCTAGATGATATAGTGAATATAGGGTGTCACCCCAGATATCAGTGCCAGTCTTCTGGTTATCCAGATAACAGATATCGCAATTGCATCAACGCTTGAGAAGTTCTCAAATTATCCAGTCGCAAAGAGATAAACGTAATATGAGAGGTTTAAAACAGCAATATATAGTCTGGTTTGTGTTCTCAGGCCTTTGTTGAAAACCACGAACACCGGTGACCCTCGGCCGCCATCCATTGTTATAGATAACGTACTAAGATTGGGTTTGACGCTTGACCTGTTGTCAGCTCAAACGAATGAATACTGAATATGTCAACCTTTGAGCATTACCTCAATAAATAAACTCCTTCGATTGCTCTGACATACGGTTAGCAGGCCAAGCCCAGGAGGTACGGGGTGAAAGAGAAGCAAACAGAGTGAGGCTATGGTGGGATAATTATGTAGTGGTTCTTTTGTAAAGCCCATATGATAAGCTTGTCCCAAAACCATACATCAAATAGATTTTTCACCTAAGTGTCTGGGCAATATAATCATCGTTTCAACAGCCAGATACAGTTAACGGGTAGTGTTCCAAGGAATGTCAGCAGTCAGCCCAAGCTGCTGAATATGTGACATTTGCTTCTTGAGCATTCGTGGAAGTAAAGTATGAATATAGCCGTACAATAAAAACCTCTGAACTGCTCGTCCATCTCCCCATATTGACAGTTCCATGCAACAGAGCAACGGGTGCGCGTGAGCCGAGATATGCGAGCGCTATTACTGTAGATGGATATCATTATCTCATTCTGGTTGACAAAGAGATCAATTAGTAGAGGATGAACATGTGACCATCCAATTTTCGCTTTGTTAATCAATACGCGGCCAATCAAAACGTGATGCCCAGTTTGACTGCCTGGGGCACCTCTATGTACTATGCCCGATTAAGAAGTTATTGTATACGACCGCAGTGCCGCTGGTGGTGGCACTCAAATGATTCATTGAAACTCGGGCTAACAGCTTGTTGGCAACGTTTCTGAAGTTCAGGGTGATTGCAGCTCTACATAAGCCCCTTCGTCACTGTATAAGAACTCCCCAGCACGGCAATCCTGGGTCATGACGATCTGACTCTCTGTGTGATCAACTTCAGCCCGGGTTTGGAGCCCTCAAAGGGGCTTTCAGAGCTGGCCAGGTGAGATGCAGTAAAAACAAACTGCTCCTTCACAAGATGAGCCTTTTTGCTTTCTTCAGAAGGATTCCTCTCTAGGCCTGGCACCATCTTAGTTATTGCTTGATATTATAAATCTGGAACTACTCTACAAAAGATCTTCTATCGACTACTTTCACTGATGACTAATCGTACTCACGGCACTAAATAAAAAACTTTTCGATTAATATTATCCAGGATGATAGGTTTTCTCATATACTCACCTAGTAGGGTATGAAGCTTCAGTCTTGGTAGAACCGGGTAGCGATTTAGAATCATAGTATCCACAATGAAGGTTGAGCGGTTTACCAATTGGTTTTGCGCGAAAAATTACTCAAGATACTACGGACTACTAAAGTGATTTCCGTGGTCTGTCGTATGACTAGACATCTGAAACCGTTGGTGCACGTCTCGACGACTAGATAAGGCGATTAATCTTGAGCGGCTAGATAAGCGAAAGATACTCGCCACATTGGTCTGCCCATGGGTCCGGGGTACTGTGGCCCCTCGTCTCTGGGGTCGACATTTACCTGAAGGGACGGGTGCAATTAGAGTTCGATGACAGTCTGACACTAGTTCAGTTTTACATTTGGTCCAAATTTAAATTGTTCTTCTTGGGGTGGGGGGGGAGGGTGTATATATATCGTTAATGAACCCAGTGAGAAAGAGATCAAGCGATCTTGGGTTCATCAACTTTTAATTTCACACTTACGATTCAATATTTGCCATGATGATGATTCCTCAGCAGTTGAGCTTTTCGACTGCCGTCCCGGCGATTGTCGGAATTTATATTTTTCGATGGATTTTGATTTCGATATTGCATACCCAACGAGCTCAGCGAATGGGTTGTAAGCCCGCTTTTGTCCGACCGAGCAAGCTTCCATTCGGCATTGATATCCTGAAGCGTTATATTGATACGACACGGCAACAGATCCTGCAGAATGATGAAGTGGTCGTTTACGAAGAGCTGGGCCAGCGTCCAACGTGGAATCAGAATATCCTGGGTAACTGGCACCACGTCACAATGGACCCGAAGAATGTGCAAGCTATGCTTGCCACACAGTTCAAGGATTTTGAGCTTGGCCCTTTACGGCGTAACCTTTTTGGACCGGTGATCGGGAAAGGTATCTTTACTTCGGATGGAAAGGAGTGGTATGTTGTAGATTCACACGCGGGGATCACTGATGCACTAATATAGAATGGTAGGCAACATTCTCGCGCCCTACTTCGTCCACAATTCGCTCGAGGCCAAATCGCCAACTTAGAGCTGGAAGAACGTCATGTCCAACATCTTCTCGATCGGCTCCCAGTTCAACACGATTCCTGGACAGACGTTGTCGATTTAGCCCCCTTGTTCTTCAACTTGACTCTTGACTCTGCCACCGAATTTCTCTTTGGACAGAGTGCCAACTCGCAGGTTGGCTCCTTGAAAGCTAACCAGAGCCAGGAGCCAGGAGCAGCTGTGCCAGCTGGTCTGCCTGACGGTTTGTCTTTTGGCAAGGCGTTTGACCGAGCCAATACAGTGGTCGTGTTACGAAGTTGGTTGACGGATCTTTACTTTCTCTACTCGCCCGCACAGTTCCACAAAGATTGTGCAGAAATCCACGAATTTGCCCGTTATTATGTGAACCTCGTTCTTGCCGAGGAATTACAGTCAAGGGACAACAAAGGATCTTCGGGGAACCCAACTGACTCTGGCTATGTATTCCTTCGGGAACTCGTGAAGGAGACCAAAGATCCCGAAGAGCTTCGGACCCAGCTTCTTAATATTCTGCTGGCAGGAAGGGACACCACTGCAGGTCTTTTGGGATGGACATTCTATCTACTGTCTCGTCACGTGGACGTGTACGAAAAGCTGCACGCCGTCGTCCTGGAAACGTTTGGAGAGTTCTCCAGTAATACATCGATTACTTTCGAGTCGCTGAAATCATGCTCATATCTGCAGCATGTTCTATCTGAAGTGCTACGACTCCATCCACCTGTACCCGAGAACAGTCGCCGCGCGGTGCGAAACACCACTCTCCCTCGAGGTGGTGGTGCCGATGGCTCATCGCCAATATACATCCGCGCTGGTGAGGAGGTCACCTACAACGTGCATATCATGCAACGTCGTAAGGACATCTGGGGCGACGACGCTGAAGAATTTCGGCCGGAAAGATGGACCGGGCACAAACCAGGGTGGGAATTTTTGCCATTCAATGGTGGACCAAGGATTTGCTTAGGACAGCAGTTTGCTCTGACCGAGGCTGCGTACGTCATCGTGCGCATGCTTCAGAGATTTGACAAGGTGGAAAATATGGACAAGTCGACGGTTGTCAAACATAAATACACGACTACTACTGCCCCAGTTCAGGTCCTCGTGCGTCTGCATAGCACATCGCATTAAATTATGGATAGGCCCACATGAACGAAATACAAACTCTCCTTCTAGAAGCCTCCTATTTCATACACTTTAGTCCCATCAGTAAGTAATTTAAATTGCCACAACGCGCGGCGTGGCACTCGAATCAGTCGGATGAAGGGACCCAGTGGAAGGTATTTCATTCACGGCTATATGCGCTAGTGGGCCTGAAGATACCGGCGACAAGTTCGACCCAACGGCGAGAGTTGTCCCAGAGATGAAACCTGCGTGTAGTCGCCTGTGAACGCATTCTCACGCGATACTGTAGATTTGCTCCATCTCCCTCGGGTTGTCAAAGACCTAAGGCTTTTAAGCCGAATGAAGAAATCACTAGTGCTTCTACACCGGAAAGATTACAAGTTGGCTTGGATGGTGCTGGTAAAGCCCTTGCAGTGCGATATCAAGGACACTGAGGCTCTCTGTTATGGCTATATTTTTGATGAATCCCTTGATACAGGATCTCGAAGCCTCTCAATATCAGTAGCTACCTTGTATTCTCCAATGCAACCGACCTGTAGGCAATGTTTTTCCAGCATATCACTCCTAAGCGCTGCCCGGTGAAAGAGGTTTTTTTTTTTTTTTTTTTTTTTTT